GCAAACAAACCTGCTCATGCTATAGAGGGAGACACTATCATCTTCCAAAGCAGTTTACTTGAAAATCTAGTCCAGCACAAATGCAGTTAGTGTCTCTACTTGCAAGGTGTGCAGAAATACAAAGGACCCATGCAGAATTGTCTCCCAACAGGGAACAGTTGTCCCCTACGTCCACTACACGACTGTTCCTTCCTCTGAGACATTTCAAGTTTCATTATATACACATCAAGGTCTGTAGCCAAACCTGCAATATTTAGATGAAAATATGTTGTTGCATTTATTTCTTACTATAGAACTTAAACTCCACAGGGCAAGGATCTTTGTTTACTTGGATATCCCAGAGGCAGAGAACTAAATCCAGCACATAGTTGGCATTCAATAAAGATTCATTGAATGAGTGTGTGAATTTCCTGTATTCTTCTTATTTGGATCCATAAGTTTATTGGCTTTGCTGTGCAGAAGCAGCAGTTATATCAGTGCCTTCAAGAAACTGCCTGCAGAGATTCCTAGAGTCATCTGCCTGGAACATTGTCCACTCCCCCCCTCAACTCACGTCCTGGCTGCTCCATCTCATTCTTCCAATCTCATCTTAAATGTTATTTCCTCAAAGAGACCTTTCCTGACCCAGAATAAAATCAGTACCTGCAGGTATTCACTCTCACAACACCTCGGCTTTTTTCCTTCATAGCACTTAGCACAGTTTGCACTTATATTTATTTTAGTGTTTTCTGGCGTAAAACCTGTTTGCCCTATCACTCATGAAACTATAAACCAGACCCTCTCTAATTTACTCACCACTGTATAGCTAGTACCTAACACAGCATGCCATAAAGTGACTACCAAGTAAATGAGTAATGAATAAATGAATGAACATACTGCAGCCTGTAGGTCAGAGCCCATCACTCTGTAAGTAGCTTTGGCATAAAATGGACCAAATGCATTGTTTGCTCCTTGCCTTTTTCAAAACAGTTTTCCCATGTTTCTCTTCAGTCACATAGTCTCAAGATTTTTCTTCAGTAGAATTTAGTCATTTTTTTTATTTTATATTCCCAGAAAGCACTTAATTTTAAATTCAGAGGTTTTATGTCATTTTACTAATCAAAACAGTATAAACATATTAAGTCAATACTGGTCCTAGCATTATTCCTTTGGTAATTCTAATGTTTACACTTATATATTTAAGTTGCATAATAAGGAAACGAAACTTACAGAAGAATCCCATGGGATTCTTCTCTCAATTAATGAATGAGCAAATATTCTTTGAAAACCTAGCAAGTGCTGGCCAGGCATGGTGGCTCACGCCTGTAATCCTAGCACTTTGGGAGGCCAAGGTGGGCAGATTACCTGAGATTGGGAGTTTAAGACCAGCCTGGCCAACATGGTGAAACCGTGTCTCTACTAAAAACACGAAAATCTGCTGGATGTGATGGCAGGCACCTGCAATCCCAGCTACTCAGGAGGCTGAGGCAGGAGAATCGCTTGAACCTGGGAGGCAGAAGTTGCAGTAAGCTGAGATCACGCCACTGCACTCCGGTCTGGGCAACACAGCAAGACTCCATCTCAAGGGGGAAAAAAAAAAAAAAAAAACCCTACCAGGTGCTTACAGTCTTTCTGGGCACTGTGGAAGATAGCAAAAACCTGAAGACCGAGCCTCAAGGAGGTTATAAACTACATGAGCAAATAAAAATGTGCATGATGTGTCAGCAAGTAATAATTAGCAAGCAGTATTAGACAATGCATGTGTAAGTGCTGAGCCACATGGTACAGATTTGTAAAACTGGTAAGAGCTTAGAAAACTTAGATATTACCCTGAACTAGAATAATAGGGGCTTCCTGAAGTTAGTCCTGAGCTGGATTTTGGAGATATTTCATTGGATATTTAGCAAGAACTTCACGAGGCAAGCCACAAAATAGCAGTGCATTCATTCAAAAGCAAGATCTGGCTGTACTGGAAGGTATAAGTTGGGAAATAGTGTCGTGTATGCGACAATCACCGTTGGACTATATGAATCACATACAGTCTTTATGAGTCCTTTTCCATTGAATTCAGTGCCATACAGAGATAAAGCCACACCTTTGGACAAATACAGCTGGGGTGAGAGCCGTCAAAAGATGGAGCCTTGCTGAGGAGTATCCACGAAGTAAATAAACTCTGAAGAAAAGACTTGGAAGGTCATCCAACATACTCATAAATTCCAGCTATTACCAAAGATGAAAGGGAAGTGAGAGCCATGAGGAACAATAGGAAGGAGTGCCCCTGCCCCCTCTAACTGCCTGTTTACAGGAGGGGAGGAGCAGCAGTGCTGCCCAGATGGCAGAGCCAAAGTTAGAATGAAGCTTCCTCACCCTAAGACCTCTTTAGGAAATCCTGTTTGTGATGGTGGCTTCACTGTGAAGTCATCAGGAGCACCCCCAGGGTTGCAGGAGCACACTTCTGGATTGAACCATGGTTTCTAATGCTGATTTGAAATCTTATTATCATGTGCACTCAGCAAGATAGAAACTGCATATCAGGTGAAGCTTGGGTCAGACTTTATTTTGCAAGTATTTACTTATCTTTCTTGTACGATGGAAATGCTGGCAACACAATAGCTTAAAAACAAGATAAGCCTCATCTTTTTTCCTGTATGGGTATGTTAAGGAATGATGGTTTTGATGGCCTTTAAAAAGCAGGAAAGGGCAAAGCCCTGTGATGCCATTTCTTTGGCATTTCATTACTTCATTAAGAGAATTATCCTAGAAGCCCGGGAGCTGTAATACGGCTTAAAAACCGATGAGAGCTGAGTGAAAACACTTTAGACTCCAAATCAAATTAACCAGAAGGTTCATCCCAAAGAGACCCACTTTTGTATTCGCACCTGGGGTGTGTACTTTTCCTTCTGCCACTCAAGTGCTTTTGCATGTGGGGGTGGGCAATTTGCTTTCCATGCCAAACCCGATGAAATGGGATTTGTCTTCCCTCTCAGACGGGTGGCCAAGCTGTGACAGAGAGGGCTCTGCCTGGCTGCTTGCCTCTTTGGACATGCAGCACTGTGGCAGTGCAGTGCCAGGCCCCATATCTGACCCTGTGGCCTCACAATCTGGAGGCCCACATTGGCAGCCTGGGGTGGTGACAGCTTTGGTCAGTTGGTGTGGAGTTCCACTGGCAGACAAAGAAGAGCACGCGAGCCTGCTGATCCAGGGTCCTTCTGTATGATAGAAGAAACTTCTAAGGTCCGGGTAATGTGTGAACCACTGGAATGCCTGTTCAATAATTAAAGTATGAGCTTTCCTTCCTCTGTTTCAGGGTGGACCAGGCCTTGGGAAAGGAATTTTGGCCTTCCCCGAATGTACACATTACTTAATGTGTCCTTCTACACTTATTACATGCATCAGGAGCAGATTTCACAAGCCTTCTTCCTATGAGACTAGGTTAGTGACTAGAGTTAATTATTCAGTAGTTAAAGGAAATATTGTGATGGAGGGAAAAATAGATTTCTGGAAGCCAGGGAGTAGAGGGCCTCAGAATGTCAAATTGCTCCATGAAAAGAGTACGCAGCCATTTTTATTTCAGTCTTTGAACATGAGATAGTAATCGTGATTTGAATTCTCTAAACCTCAAAAATATTCCCTTCTTAACTGTAAATAGCCACTTGTCCAAACCCCACATATCCGTGGGGAGCTTCTGTTCTCCCAGAGAAAATGCAGTTAGATTATAGCAAAGAAAGGGACCCTAGGTCTCCCCCTCCTGCCTTAAGAGGAATCTCTAGTATCTCTACTCATGAGATAATAAAATGTATCATTTTCAGAAATTTGAAGAAGGGAGGTCAGGACTCACCAGTGCTGTTTCAAAAGCCTTTTGATTGTGAGTGCCACATCTGACCACTGCACAGATAGCACTGAGAAAGAAAATTGGACCCAGCTCTCTGCTTTTGCCTTCCATTCTCCCACTAAGGGTCCACATGAACAGCAAGCTTGGCCTGGTTTCCTTAGGTCCCTCTGGGCCCATTTCTTTTCTTTCATCATCTTTCCTAAAGCTGATACGGCAATTCCATGGGGAAGAAACAAATAGTACACTTGGATGAACTCTGCGAAACACAAAGACCTTTCCTCTTATCCCTGATTTTAAAGGGATTTTTCTGTATTTAATAAATAAATAAATGAGAACAGTTTTAGATTGAATAGTAAGTGTCCCATTTATATCACATTTGTGATGTTTTGAACAGGGTGAAGGAAACCATTCGTGATAAAGCCACATGGATTATAACATCGTGGTTGACTTGTTTAACAGAACCCAAGTCATAAAGCTCCCTTGAAGAGTACTCAAAAAGTCTAGCTACAACCAAAGATGAAAAGAAAGTGAATAGACTTCAGCAGCCCTGCCTCCTCTGTTTCATCCTTTAGGTTAAATGTCACCTCCTTAAAGAGGCTTTTTCTATTCTTCTCCACCAGCGTATCTTATTTTCTTCATAACACTTAACACTTAATGATTTTCTTTCTCCCTAAACTGTAAGCCTCACAAGGGCAGGGACCCTGTCAGTCTTATTTTTGTGTTCCCTACACTCAGCATAGTGATAAGCACATCACAGACTCCAAATGTGCTGAATGAGTGAATGAGCTGCTGAAGCGTGCTATAATGGCAAACCTGTTCCAAGTTCTTCACGGACTTACAGGCTCCTTGGGATCACCTCTTTCTTTTCTTAGAACCAACTGAAGAATACTACTTGGTCTCAACATCAGGCTTACCAGTGTTATTCCTATTTGTTCATTTGTATTTTTAAAAACCTGGGATTTGGCCAGGTGGTGGCTTAAGCCTGTAATCCCAACACTTTGGGAGGCCAAGGCAAGCAGACCACTTGAGTCCTGGAGTTCGAGACTGGCCTGGGCAACATGACCAAACCCTGTCTCTACAAAAAATTAGTCAGGTGTGTTGGTGCGTACCTATAGTCCCAGCTACCTTGGAGGCTGAAGTGAGAGGATCACCTGAGCCCAGGAGGTCAAGGCTGCATTGAGCTGTGATCACACAACTGCATTCCAGCTTGGGTGACAGAGGTAGACCCTGTCTCAAAAACAAAAACAAAAAAAAACACTGCTTTTTTCAGCCTGAGTCTCAAGTCCACTAGCAGTTCCATGGTCATAGCCAAATGATGCAATGTAGTGAAGTGGACATGAGAGCCAACTTTGGAGCATCTAGTTGTCTCTATCTCTTCTTAGCTCAGTGATGATGAGTTATTATTAACCATCCCTCAATCTCAGTTTCCTCAATTGTAAAATGAGGATATTAATATATATCCCCCACATAGCATTGATCTGAGGTTAAACAGTATGTATAAAGCACTTTTGTCTTTTGCATTGTACATGTTCAGTGAAACTTAGCCACTGAACTTCCTGTTCATGATGTTAAATTACCTTGGTGTATCATTTTTCCAGAACAGGATAAAGGATAGCTTCTTGTCGGAGGGAACAGAAGACATTAGAATAATTCAGAGTCAAAAAAGGCCAAGGACCTGGAGTACTGGAATTCTAGACAGAGCCTCGAGCCTGGGGTACACAGCATGAACTGAGGTCACAGCAGGCTGGGCGGCATGGCCGAATGACTCAATAGTGAAGTGATGACTAATCATTGTAGTGCTCCTTATGTCTCTCCCCCTGTATCCCACCACAGTCACCACAAAGGCCAGAGCTGGTCCTAGAGTCTGGCAAAAGGCTGAGCATGCAAGTGAGTTTAAGGAAACCCATCTAGTAAGATTAAAGAAACTAGGCAGGGCTCTGGGGTCAAGGCATGGGGTCAGCTGACTGCTCCACAAGGAGGAGTTGGGGGCTCCTACTTGGTCTTCCCTTGTTTTCCATAGTTCCTCACGTAATCCAGAGGGCAGTCCCCAAGGCTCTCAGAGTCTTACTCTGAGCCACAGGAAGAAGTACCTTACGCCAGCTCATAGGGGAACTCCAAACAGTCAGCAGGAAGAAACTCAATCACTCAGATGAAAATAATGGTGTCTCACCATTCTTCTATGCAGTTTGCTAAGGGGCGAGACAGAGACATTTGACTGTGAGACATTAATCGAACAGAATGTACTTTAACTGTTGCCTTTCTTATCTAAGGCTGTGGGGCTGGCTTTCTGGTTTTAATCAAGTAAAGAGCAATGACTTATGCATTTAATGATCTCACTAGACATAATTTCCTTTCATACTGGTTTGTAAGACAGGTGCTATCCTCTCCCATCTCAGGTGGAACTCAAAAGGCCCATTTGTTTTAATATTCCTGAACCATGTAGGATCAGCAATCTGGACTTTAAAAAAAAAAAATCTTATAAAAATCTGTATAATGTATGCATCTTATGTAAGATTATTTTTAAAATAGTATGTATTATGTTCTTTCGTTTAACAAAAGTATACGTGGTTGTTGTAGAGCTTTTAAAATACGACTAAAGAGTATAAGTCTATAGTATCTTGCTATACCAGAAAGTAAGAAGATGCTCAAAAAATATGGGAACAGGGGCCGGGCGCGGTGGCTCAAGCCTGTAATCCCAGCACTTTGGGAGGCCGAGGCGGGTGGATCACGAGATCAGGAGATCAAGACCATCCTGGCTAACACGGTGAAACCCCGTCTCTACTAAAAATACAAAAAATTAGCCGGGCGAGGTAGCGGGCGCCTGTAGTCCCAGCTGCTCGGGAGGCTGAGGCAGGAGAATAGCATGGACCCAGGAGGTGGAGCTTGCAGTGAGCTGAGATCGTGCCACTGCACTCCAGCCTGGGCGGCAGAGCGAGACTCCGTCTCAGAAAAATATATATATGGGAACACACCAAAAAGGCACAGAATTTAGCTTGAAGGAGCCACCGGACAAATATGAGACAATTTGGGTATCAAAATGCATAATTATAGTAAAGGATTATAATCTCTTGAATAAAATTAAAATCCATGAGTCCATGCTGATATAAATAAAGTGAGATAAAGGGGAGCTTTGTCTTACAGTAGACTGACAACCAATAATAACAGAGTGAATGATGGAGTTAGAAAATCATCAGTGGATGATGCTAAAACTACTGAGTGGAAATTTGATCAGGAGATTTACATAGTGTCAGGTGGCTCTTTACAAGATACTTACTTTAAAATAAAACTAAGAGGAAAGAAAAATAAACCATAAACCAGTGATCAAGAGATGACCGTTACTAATGGTTTCATAATTATCTTTCAACTGTTTTTCCTATGCATTATAACATTTTAATTTTCTTATAAAATTAGATCACCCTTTTTTGTAATCTGCTTTTCTTATATGAAAATATATCTGGATCTTATTTATTTGTATTTAAATATTCCCTGGGCATATAGTAGGCGTGTAGTAAATATTGGTTGAGTGAATGAAATTTGCGTGACTTTAAGGAAAGCTGTGATGCACATTCGTATAAGTAAAGTTTTCTTCATTCTCATTATTACTCCTTTAGGACTAATTCCCAGAAGTGGAATAGTGATACAAAGCATATTCAAAACCCTGAGCCCTTTGATACATGGAGCAAAATTGCCCTCCAGAAATATTTTTCTATTTTATTTTCCCTCCAGGGGTGTATTAAATGAATGTCATTCAATACATTTTTAAGGCGGAAGATTGGGATTAAATGTGTGTGAAATACCCAGAGTAAGACCCAGAAGTCGTCAGTCAGGAAGTAGTAGTCATCCACATTCTCTTCTCTGTATCTGTAGGTTAGATTCTGTCAGGACCAAAAGCTGGGATTAGTAAGTTTTCAAAGCCTTCAGTCATAGAAAATGGAGTTTTTGTTGATACGGGAAGCTCCAAGTTGGGATAGACTCTTATTTTCATTAAGCTAGTCATATACCATATCATGTGCTATACAATCCTTCTTTTGTACCTATTGAAAAATCCTATCAACTGCGCTGGACCTGAAGTCTACTATGTCAAAGTAAATGATAAAGAGAAAAACCTGGTTCCTGTTTGTGATAGGCTAGCATTGAACATCACTGTTATCAACACAGAACCTCCATGAGGGCCCCCTTCCATTTGCACTTTGATGCTGACTGCTTAGCACACTTAACACCAGCTGTTTCCAGTGCTGTTTCCAAAGGTGGGCAGAGCAAGGTGCAGGAAAATATACATTCCATAGGCTAGCCAGGACCTGTGGCAACCCTTACCTCCTGACTTCAACCTCCCCCTAGTTGCAGCCAGGTGGTGTATTATCTCCTGATCTATACATTAAACATATTATTAAGGAGAACCCAGAAGAAGATTTAGAGAGATAGATACCTTTGGATTCAAAAGATAAGCAGTCAGAAAAATTATACCATAATTTGGATTTGCTTATAGTTTCCTTTTTAACTTTCACTGACTAGCATGTTCTCAAGCGATGACAGTTGGGCTGATTGAGAGCCGTTAGTCAAATCCAGTAACAGTATTAATCTGTGGTTGGAAATGACTGTTAAAGTAAGTGCCAGGCTATTCAGTTGTGGTTTTTCTTCCAGCTTCCAATGGTGCCAGGCTTCCAGCAGGAGGAATAGAGGCTGTGGTAAAGGAAACCGTTGGTAAACGAAAGAAACCAGAAACTGTCACTACTCATAACAACCAAACAACAAAAAAATTTACAGGAAAGGAAGGGGAGACAAAGGAAATTGTTTAAAATGGTTGAAGCCTGCACAGTCTGATGTGATCATTAGGCGTGAGGGTGCCTCAGCATGGTGGTGCCTAAGACACTGACTCCAATTTTCCAGTGAGAACAGGAAGGCTTTAAGCACCAAAGCCATGCTGTCCAGTAATACTGCTGAGCAAGAAAGCTTTTCTTGAAGGAAGAGAATAGCGTTTAATTGAGACTATTTTTGTCAGTCTCCTAACATGCTCCTCAGACCACTAATATGCAAAAGAACCTAAGGATCTGGTCACCAAGTTACATCCAAAGAGTTTACCCCATAGTCCTTTTTACTGCCTTTTGCAGAACAAATGTTTAATAATGTCGCTATTGTTCATTGGTTATCAGGAAATAACTCATTGTAACTGAGAAGTGCTTAGCAAAGAATCTATCTCATGTACTTTTTTTATTTCAAGAACTTTAAGGAAGCGGCTTTCTACATGTGTTCACCAAAACTCCAAGATTTTTCTTTAATATTTTGAGAAAGTATTTTCAGTAAATCTGTATTCATTGAATGAAATATTAAGTGGATTCATAAAGAAGCAGGCAGTGTAAGTCCCAGGGTAACATCAGGAGAATCTCAATACAGTGTAGCTGAAGCATTTCATCACCCCTCAACAAGAAAATTGCTATTTTGCCAACTATTCTACCACATTGCAGTGTTTCTGAGATCTACATTTTTTTCGCATTTATTTCTAAAATCAAAATGTGAATTGCAGTCAATTGGTGACATATTAGATTTGATGAGATATGGTGGTTCTCCTTGAAAAGCAAAAGTTAGTAATTTTCAGCATATCATTGGCATCCAATGTTTGTTTAACTCTGGGGGGTCAAAAGACATCTTCAAGCGCTAATGAAGAAGACATATTTTATTTGTGGACATTTTTATTATAATTTAGTAGGTAAGTGATGTTCCTTCAAGGCATTCAAGGAACCCACTCTGGAATAAACTAAAGAGACTCTGAGTCTCAGAGTTAGTGTTGCCCACGAGGGTCACAGCCGGTCAATGGCAGAGCTGGACTGAGGTTCCTGCCCAGTCTGGAGGGTCAACATAGGGTGTGTTGTCCTGCTGCCTGTCAGAGCAGGCACAAAGCAAGACTCAATGAGGCAGACCCCAATTTGCTCTGAAGCGTCCTTCTGTCTGGGCATTGGCAGAATTCCCAAACGAGCGGGTAAAGGTACCAAAAAAGTTCAGCCTCAAATGAGTGGGTCAGTAAGACATGAGACAGTAAAACATTGTTCAGTTGTGGAACGTGGGATTGGTGTGGCAGAGTCACTCTGCTCCATGCTCAGCCTGCAGCCTCCTCCCTGGTATCGACGCCTTCCTACTTCCAAGGTTCATCTTTTGAAATACATCATTTATTTTAAAAATATACTGATGTTCGTAAAAATAATGCCAAAGATAGACTAAAAGTTTGTTTTTTATATCTTTTGGCAAATTTATGAATTTCCATATAAAGAAAATGAAAATGTCTTTTAAACTTTTTAGCACGCAAAACCACAGTAATCCAAAGTATACATTAGTTATGAGCTAAAATTATACCATCTGAAGGTGCATTTTATGAGCAATGCAGACAACATCTATTAACAAAATATACCAACATGTTATTTGTAATATGTTAAATACTTTTACTCATAATGCTTTATAAGTTTTAAAGGGCTGTACTTAATTAGATGAGATAAATGAACACAGTACAAACTTTCATTTTTTTTTAATGCCTTCAGCAAGTGATCAAATTTTGAAATTTATCTCAACATTCTCTTTTTTCTGCTTCCCCAAAACATGGTAATCACCTTGTATGTATACCATTGGCCTTGTCGTTGGCTGTTATTGCATAGTAGATGTTAGAGTTTTTTAATTTGATATTTGATCTTACTTAACCTAAATCTCAGTTTCTCCCTTTGAAATGAGGATAATGATATTTACCTAGCAGAGTGTTATTAGGAGTAAATGAGACAATATATGTAAAACAAAGCAAAGCAGCCCCTTTCCCATAATAAGTGTTCAGTAAATTGCCTTTATTATTATTATTAGCTGTTGATGTTGAAGAAAAGTTATTTACTCAACATTTTTAGGTCACACTGGTTTTTATCTACTTAATTTCTTAAAAATAATGATCTTCAGGTGAAAGTCTCTTACATATTTCCTTTAAATTCCTTCAGGATTTTAATCTAGCCAAAAGTGGTCAGAAGTTATTTTATAGTTTAAAAGAACCTAAATTTCATTTTCAAGGAAATTGTGTCCCTCAGTTATAATGCCAAGACTACCAGTGATGATCATGAAGTCTAAATGGTCAGTAATTATCCTTTATATTGGAAGTAGACATGACTAAATTGTTTTCTAAATTCAGAAGGAGTTTTTGAGTAAAACAGTCAGTTGCTGTTTAACCCGTAGGTCTATAAAACCTGACAGCCCTCTGTGGCCACATAGTCTTAAGTACATTATAGAAGAAATACCTCCTGAAGCTTTTTTTTTTATGTCTACATATGCATCTCTTTCTAAAACCATAAGTGTAGCAACATATGGCTGTATTTTTAACAACTTTTATTGTGCTTTCATATTAAAGAGTAATACACTAGCAAAATTTGTGAAGTTTTCATTTAGGAAAACACAAGCAATCGGGCTAGGCTCAGTGGCTCACACATCTGTAATCCCAGCACTTTGAGACCGAGGTGGGCAGATCACCTGCGGTCAGGAATTCGAGACCAGCCTGGCTAACATGGCAAAACCCTGTCTCTACTAAAAATACAAAAATTAGTCGGCATGGTGGCGCATACCTGTAATCCCAGCTGCTTGGGAGGCTGAGGCAGGAGAATCGCTTGAACCCGGGAGGCAGAAGTTGCAGTGAGCCAAGATTGTGCCGCTGCACTCCAGCCTGGGCATTCCATCTCAGGGGGCAAAAAAGCACATTTCATAGATATTTTATCTTTGTTAACATATATGTTTACCAAAATGTAATTATTTCTTCCCGTACATGCTGTTTTTTATCAAATGCTGTTTCATTTCTTATGAGTGACATAAAACTTTTGCCAGTGATATTTTTCTCTTATAGTTGTAAAATCAAAAATATGACAGTTGTACCTCTCTAGAGAATGTATAATGCAAATGGATCTTATATATAATCATATCCCCTCAGCCTTCTCATTCTTGTAAGTTCATTTGCTTCATAAATAAGCTAAATAGTTTGTCCTGAAACCGGAAGTTGACCTTAATATTTGTGTTAACTGGGCGCAGTGGTGAACACCTGTAATCCCAGCACTTTGCGAGGCTAAGGCAGTGGATCACTGGAGCTCAGGAGTTCGAAACCAGCCTGGGCAACATGGCAAAACCCTATCTCTACAAAACAAACATTAGCCAGGTGTGGTGGCACACCCCTGTGGTCCCAGCTACTCAGGAGGCTGAGGTGGGTGAATGATGGAGCCTGGAAGGTGGAGGCTTCAGCAAGCTGAGATCACTTCACTGCACCCCAGCCTGGGCAACAGAATGAGACCGTGTCTCAAAAAATAGTAACAAATCGAAAAATATTTGCTACAACTTTTTTAAATGTGCTGTGATAGATTGCGTTTAAATACTTGATAAAATAGTATTGTTTAGAAATCATCATTAGCAAAACTGATTACAGTTCCTGCTCTTATCATGTCCCTGACTATGTCTAAGTTACAGAATCTCCTCAGCCATAGTCCTCACCTAAATAAGGAAACGCATTTATCCCCTTATTTGTCATTTTCCTAACTTCATCATATTTAAAGTTTTCTTGGTGATCTTTGTAAATAGCACAGAAGGGTATCATGGGTAAATTAAATCTAGAGATTTGGTCCGAAGATAGGACCAAAATAACAGCACTGAATTTTCCTTGCATATTTAGTCATAATGAAACAAGGAAAAGAAACCACAGGGCAGAGAAAAAGGAGAAGGTAATACAGTATTAAGCGAAAATAAATAACTTTGGAACGAGTAAGAATTTGTTCTATTTGTTCTTGATTGGTAGCCTTACTTTTACTGAGCAGGTTAATTTTATTTCTCAGCAGTTCTAACTGCTTTATTCACATGGTTTATTGTTTTGTGTTATTTTCATCCGTGATATGAAGTACGACAGAAGCTGTGATATCTGTTTTTTTTACAGATGAGCAGAGATTAAGTGGCCTGCCTGCACTCTGGGATTTATTTGTTAATCAGTTACAGAGCCAGCATTAAGAGCTGGATCTTCTGTCTCCTGGTCTTTACTCCTTTCCATAACATGTGGTAAAGTGCTTCTCTCTTGTTCTAAAGAAATCTCTACAGGGGACCCAACACTGCCCTGATCTAGAAACAGCATTGTTACCTGACACGCTGGTTTGCCAGGATGACCATTCTTAAGTGTTTTAGGGAGCTAGGATTAATCTTTTTTTCCCAAGAGGAAGTAGCAATAAACTGTGCACCAAAAATAACGCTTCAGCTGCTAAATTCTGCTTAGTAGGTGGTTTCCCAAGGATGATCCAATGCAATGAGTCATCCCTCTGAGCACTTACTGCACATTATTTCTTTTTACTAATCTTCGGTGCTTTTGGTTGCATGTTTTTTAACCTTTAGAGCCCTCCTGGGAGGTTCAGAGTCTTCTCACTATGAATATAAAACAGACTCTACTACATCCCCCCACATGTCCCTCTTGTCCTTTGCTTCCTGCACTTTTCAAATCTAAGACAATCCCTCACTCAGGAGAATAGTCAGGATCATGTCCAAAGGTAAAAGATCAGCAGTAAGTTTCTCCAGAGTTAGCAGCAGCTCCATCTCATTCCCAGTATAAAAACCAAAAATGTAGATGGATGTAAATCAATGTGTGGAACTTGTATCAAGAAAACTATAAAACTTGATTGATAGACATAAAAATGACTTACCTAGATATAGAGAATATTTGATTATTAGAAAGATACTAAATATTCCATTTTCCTGAACAAGAGGATTGAATGGTTGTAAGGATATAAAATCTTTCCAAATTAATTCATAGGTTTATGCAACTCCAGTCAGAATTCCAGTGGAATTTCCTGAAATGCATTTGGAAAAGTTAAACTGGTGAAAATAGCCAAGAATTTTTTGTTACAAAAAAAAAAAAAAGTTATGAAGAGAAACTCCTGCTACCAAGCACTAAAATACATTATACAATTACAATAATAAAAATAATGTGGTACCAGCAGAAGTGACAGACATTAATGGAACAGAATAGAGAATGAGACTTGAAACCCTAATTTAGGAAGTGATGCAACTTATCATAAATCACAAATCCGGGAGGACAGAACGGCATATGCAACAAATGAGAATAGGGTAATTGGTCAATTTCATGGGGGAAAAATGGTAACCTGATTAGATTATCACTATTCCTTACCACAGAACAAATGACAGATGGCTTAAAGAGTTAAATATTAAAAGTGAAACCATAAAAGAATAAAGAAACTGTGAGAAGTATTTGTGACCCTGGAATGGAGATATATTTTCAAAGCATTAAAAAGTCACAAACAAAAATACTAATATATTTGATTATATAAAAACTGAAAACTTTTGTTCATCAGAAAATAAAAACACTGCCAAGTTAAAAAGCACATGATAGTCTTGGAGAAAATGAATGAATATGACAAAGGTGTAATATCCTTAATGAATAAAAGAGCTCTTAAAATTAATTGGGAAGCCACTAGCACACCCCACTGTAGCTACACTACATTCCTATCACAGTCTGTACATATCACAGTGCTAAATCATTTTATACTCATAATATAGTTCAGATGACACAGACAGTATTAGAAATTCAGATCTTATTTTCCATTCACATATTCTTTGTCCAAAGGCAGTTTAAGGAAACTAACACATTACATGATGCTATAAATACTTCAGAACAGTTTGTCCACATTGACACTTCCATTTCCTAAAATGAAACCCTCGCTGGCCCACAGAGGGAGAAAAAAAAAGGCTAGCTTTGTTAACCAGTTTTATTTCAACAAGCACATCCACATGGTAAGAACTTCCTCTGATGAGTCATCCACAGTTGTCAAACACCAACTTTCCTTTGTTTGGCCCATGCAGAAATCAGGTCTGTGGAAGCACAGCTCCAGAGTCTGAATCATTTAATTGTGTTTTATTCATATCTGAATTTGCATCTGTCACAAACCCAATGTATCCACCGTGAAAAATTGCATCCTTCAAATATTACTGAACAAAAAATCCCTATTCAAATAGGTCTGTTCTGTCTAGATTGCCTGTGAAATTTCTGAGGAATGTTGTGGGCTCTGTTTCCTGTACCAAATTGTTGAGTTATCACACATCATTGGATTCTACCCAAAGTGTGCTGGATAGGCATATTATATTCAGACAGGATACCAGTTGTCTTTACCATTCATAAAGGAAAAAGAAAAGATTACTCC